ACTTTTTATGAGGTGAGGTCACTTCAAGTGACCTGGTGACCTGACCTTGAATGACCTTGGTCTGAAATTTTCACAACATGTGTAGAATTGATGTATGATAAGGTGTACCAAAAACTATTCGCGAAAAACCACAAGGGGGGGGGGGTGTTCAAACACCCCCCCCCCCCCCAGCAGGGCGCGGGCTAAGCATGGGACGCATGGGACCAACATCATTCACATGTTTGAACGTTTACAACCACAAGAAGACTGGAAACACAAGGATAATGTGCGCCGACATACGCTGAATCGCTAATCCGGCCTGACATGGTCTCAAGAAACAGGTCACAGGTCAAAGGTCATTTGGGTCAGATTCATTAAATTTCCAGGGTAGGTGTACAATTGTTTAACTTGATAGTGTTCAAACTTTCGTCGCGATAGGCCGCTTTTTGCACAAGCTGTTCGCGAAAAATCGACGAGGCCCATTCGAACCCAAGTGCGAGGGCTAGCATTCAACCTTTGAACATATTACCTGCAATATTTTCTTAGGTCAGCTCACTCAGCTATGACGCTGTATGGCAGTTTATATTCGGAAAAGGTGACATTTCATCTGGTTGACGTTTTCGACTTCGACCAGAAGCTGTTGGAATTGCAAGCAAGATAATTATCTACTGATATTTAGGAGCCATGTATGGTTCCCTCTAAGTTCAGTTAATTTAATAGTAAACGAAGCTATGTGTGATCATAATTGCCACCTATAGGTATGTAGAGGACAGATCGATTCGGCTAAAAGTCACTAAGTAATTATTTTTTTCTTTTTAGGTTGATATTTTCACTGAACTAGAATTCCATTGTTCAGAGGTAAATGGATTATGGGCTCCATATGCATTATGCACGGTACCTAAAAGTACCTTCATTTTAAATGACCCTTTATGCGTCAAGGTCACCAAAGGTTATCTGAAGCTACCTGAGGTCACCCTTTACGCTTCTTTTTTCCATGAAAAAGTCGATCATGTAATGCATCTTGACGATACGAACGGTTCGTTGGCCTGCATTGCTTTTACTTTGCAATCAAGTTCTGAAAATTATTTGCTAAAAGTTTAAAAGATACAATCATTCACCTGACGTGAGGTCATCATACCAAATGAGCTTTGAGGATCACCGTTGGATGTTTTGTGGTAACAACATGGGCTCCGCCGAATCTACTGGAACGTAGATTTTGAATTTGCTCAAGCTTCAATCATGTCGCATTGATGGGTCACCAGCACTACCTACTTAATTTCCTGAGGACAGTGCTCGTGAGTCACTTTTTATAGCTTTGCTGTTGACTTTCATTACCTCCGATCTTATGATTTACATAGGAGCCTGTTTTATATCACCCTCTTGTCTTCCTCAACGTAACTGTTTCCTTGGGCTTGCTCTCTTCCTTCCATTCCTTCCCTCCTTTTTCCATCACGGCGGGGAGTGACGGGAGGCTCACCGAAGTCTGTCCTGCTTAACACTGTCGAGACGTGCCGGCTTCCTTATCGTTGAGGTAGAGATGTGTTCGTAAAGTAATCTTGAAGATGTATGCCACATGCTGGTATGGCGTCAGTGCAGCCGACGGAGATAGGAGCCTGCCGATAACCCGCGATAGGCCTAATTGAAGGCAATCTGTTATCTTTTTGGCATTTGAACCAATTTCAGAGGGATTAAGCCCTCGTTGTTGATAGATGTTCTTTTCGGTAGGCATCATGCAGTGCACACATTCCAAGTGTTGCATCATGCTTGATCGTGGTTCCTCTGATAGGATGCGCAAGATTTATGCGTATTAGACGGTTCTGCGACACCTGAGTGAACGTTATTTCAGCGAACGACATTTGAGCGAAACATTTTCAGCGATTATCAATTTAAGCGATTGGCTTTTTCAGCGATTGTCAAGTCGGCGAATTCAATAACAGCGATTATCAACTTTAGCGAGGACCAGAATCAGCGAAACCAGATTGAGCGAATATATGGGGGTCAGTGGGAGACCAATTGAGCGATGCAGTTACAGCGAATGACCGAACGCGACGAAAGTCAATCATTTGCTACTTTTTCAGAAATTATTGCACCTCTTTACATATCATTTGAATTTTGAAGACACATATGTACATCGGACGACCAACAAGGGGTGCATGGGAGGGGAAGGAGGCGGGCAAAAGTTGAATTGAAAATGTGGAACGTGAGAGATAGGGCGACGGAAGGAATGCCAAGGACCAATAATAAACTAGAGAGATGGCACAGGGGAATCCAGTCTATGTTTCAGGGACCTCACCCAAATATCTGGAAATTCGTATGGTGCTTGGGGCAAGAACAAATTTTACAACATGGGGAACTGATCCAAATTCAAGCGGGGCAATCTCGTGAAAAAAGCACAAGCAATATTGATCTCTGAACAAACGTTTGGTCACCATTATTGACAAAGAGCGGGGGGGTGAAATTGAACCGTTGGAATTTTTGAAAAAATGTAGCATTAAATTTGGAGCTCAATGTCTGACCTTTGAACGCGCGACATCCGCCATCCAGTTCCGGATAACCATGAGAAATTCCGGAAACATTCGTACGCATACGCTCGCAAAAGAAAAAAAATCCACCGTTACAGGACGATGAAATGTTTCGCTGAATTGACAGTCGCTCAAATTGTAGTCGACGAAATAGATGTCGCTGAAACATAGCTTTCGCTAAAATTGATAATCGCTATATTTGATAATCGATGAACTTGATAATCGCTGAATTGCCATTCGCTGAAAATGGTTCGCTCAAATGACGTTCGCTCAAATGACACTCGCTAAAGTCGCTCGCACCGGTATTAGACAAGACCCGCAAGGGGAGTGCATTCTCCAACATTTTTGAACGTTGTTTGTCGATAAGAAGTGGGCTCACGCGGTGTGAATCATACTCCGTTTAATTTATGTTGAAATCGAATAGCATCGGCTGGGTTGTTTTCATTAGCTTTGTTTAGCTCGTACATAATATATATTTAATTGCCCGGTCCGAGCACTATACCAGACATTATTCGGTCGCTTTCCCAAGGGTGTTTTAAAATAATGTCCGAACGGAGTGAGGACATTATTTTATCGAAAATAGCGTCCGAACGGAGTGAGGATGCTATTTTCGAAAATTGCACGAATGAAATGAGTGCAATTTTCGCATTGAATGTGCGAGCCTGCGAGCATATTCAATGAAAACACCCTTGAGGAAAAGCGACCGTATCATGGCTGGTATAGTATTCGGACCGGGCAATTAAATTTATTATAGTAAATTTTTAGCACCGTGCACCAACGAATCTCTGAGAAAGAGTTCGCTTTTGGGCTTCGACATCAAGGAGGGGCACGGAAGGAGGGGGGGGGGGGGGCAGCAAATGGGTAAAGCTTTGGGCGTATAATACAAATTATTGCCAATGGCCTTTGACACACGATGTGCGAATAACGAAATTAATCTACCACTTGGTCTCACTATACCTATTCAAATTGTACATCACCTACCACGTCGTATTTTGCTTGAAATTCATCCCTGATTTCTCAGATATTTCCTGGTAAACATGCGAGACGCGTCTGTTACTTTTATTAGACATTCATGCTACGAAGTAATTGCGAGTGAGGAGTAGGCGTTGCGGAGACATGCTTTGTCTTCATTAGTGGGAAAATGTCGTTGCGTTCTCTCCTCTTTCCTATATTTTGACATCCAATATCCATGAAGGTATGATAGCAAGCGTCGATCTTACTACGAACACTGCTCCTGGCAGTGCTGTTCTTCCCATTTTGTAAGGGTCAGCTTCAATGGCTCTTTTCACTGGCTCTTGAGAACTACATGTGCCTCGAAATCTGCCTTCTAAATTTATGCGTAGCCTGCTAATCCATCTCTTTGAAATGAATACGATAAGTCATCACATTAAGGCTGTGTTCTTGCCAATATTCACTTGTCCACCTGTTTCGCAATTTACTTTATTCCAAGCTACAAGCTTCCTATTCAATATTCAAGCGATTCAAGCTTCCTAATTCAGTATACCCTGACAAGCTTCCATCTGGCTTCCATGACCGGATTTTTATTGAGGTTTCAGTCACCGAACGTCACCGAACGCATTGTTCAACAGGGAGCTTTTGAAGATAAGAAAACTGCCGTATAATGAAATTAACCGCCGTGTTTTTATGCATCGGTTTTGATAGGCATTTCCGAATCTTGCCGTCGACTGAAATTAACCGTCTCTCGGGCTTCTGACTTTCAGCAGGCCACCTTTATACAAAAATTTAACTGAACTTTTTTAACATGCGTCGGTGGCAAAAATGTACTATAATGTTATTTGTATGCGTTTGCAGTATATTTGAATCGTATGCTCACAATACCCGTGATATCTAGCGTTATCAATTGCTTTGCTGTGCCGATCTGATTCCTAGCGTTGCTATGGGCATTGCAAACACGAAATTATTCCTGCTGGTGGAGTGTGCAAAATCGAACTCGAGAAGCTCGACCCAGATTCCAGGTGGCAATGTCGACCCGCACTTCGACATTGCCACTTGGGCACTCGCGGCACTTCCTCCCCACCCCTGTTCCCAGGCACGTAGCCAGGATTTTGCTCAGGGAGGAGCCACGGGTCCCGGCCTAGTGTCGTACCCCCTCCAAAAAGGAAAACTCCTCGGATTTGGCCCACTATTTTTCGGGGTGTGGTGCAGCTGTTGCTTTATTTTTTTATAATATTTTATTTTATTTTTTGCCTTCAGGGGGACCATGGCCCCCGTGCCCCCCCCCCCCTTGGCTACGTCCCTGCCTGTTCCTAATCTAACATCACCTAATAACACCGTGCTCAGTTACCATGGTAAAGGTACAAATATAACAGAATGGTGATGGCCTGAATTTAGCGCGCGTTGGCAGTTCCGAGATAACCAAACATCAAAATTCCCCGACGATAGCCGATGTTATTGAGTCTAATTGTCATGCCATGATGTTTCTCGATTCTAACTCCAGTCCGGAACTTTGACCAAGACGATAAACTCCGACTATCCTACCTGTAAATTGGAGACCTCCAAGCTAGCACATCATCTTCATTCCAGCTCAACGACGATCCTCCAGTCCGTTTTCGATTTTGATGGTTGTCTTGTGGCACTGCGAATTTCGGCCAACACCGTCGCACACCGCAACACTTCCAGCGACACGGCCTACACCTCGCAATTGTCGGCCCAACACTGCCCCACCCTTGTCTCTGAGCGACCACGGAGCACTGAAGACTGCTGCAGCGGCCGAGAACTGAGATACGCCGGCGCCGGCCCGATAGGGGCCGCTATCGACCGACGGGCACCAACCCGCGGCGCCGGTGCTGATATCTTGAGGCCCCGTCACCGGCTGTGTGTGGGACACCGCCGCCGCGCCCTGAGCTCCCGACTGGGGAGTGGGTGGCTATCGCACTTCGCGCCGCGCAGCCTCGGCGCCTGGCCACTGCCGAGTGCCGACTGAAGTTTCGCCCTCTATCGGATATGACATCCGCTGTCCACGCGTTTTTCCGCCGGGGGTCTGGACGTTGGTTGTCAGCCTGGGCTGGCTGGCTGTCGGGGTGGTTCTCATTTCGGCCGTATGGGGGCGCTGGGTGGTGTTGGTTGCCCTCCCGATGTTGTTCCGTTGGTACGCCTCTGGCTGAGCCGACATCTGCAAATAAAACTCAGCGGGACACGTAACATCGTGAAGCTGAAAGTACTGAAAAACTGTCAAGCGTCATTCATTGGCCTCTCTTATCTAGCCGCGGTAGACATCTTGTGGTACTTTTGAATCACTATCTCTCCGCTCTACGACGCCTCTGCTCCGTGGCTTGGACCGCCGAGACCCGACCACTGCCATCTGGTGGGGCTTATGTTGAAGTCTGATTCAGTTGTGACGACGACTGAGTGGAAGGTTGACTTGGTTATCTTAAAACGCAGCGGAGATTAGTGACTGTGAGTGGAGGATATAAATCGTGTGGTATGAGAAAAGTGGTGGTGTTTGGTGGTATGCTACTGAAGACCGAGCGCTGTGCCTGAGGAAAAAGGACTTACAAAGACTGCGTCCTAACTGAACTGCAAAGCACTCCAAAGTGAATCACTGGCGAGATCCAGAAGTGTTGTCCTCGTCTGTGATTAAACTGTCAGATCAGCCCAACAGCTTTGCCGAAGCACTTCATTCGGATTTTTCCTTCCCTGCCACTCTGCACAAGAATCGAGAGGACTAGGTAGACGTAAGTCGCCTCCATTCGCTACTGCCGATCTCCCGCCGACGCTTATCGCCATCGACGTCTGTCGTCATCTTCTGTCATCATCGCCCGTCGTCATGGCCGTGCCGCGTCTCTCAATGAACGACAGCGACCTGTACCAGCGGAGACAGCACCACCATCCTCAGCCGCCTCTGCCACCCGTTCCCACCAAAATCACCGACCCAGACGACGAGATAGGTGACTACGCTCACGTGGAGCCTCCTCAACATACCGTCACCACCACCCGGTTCAGCGACTACAGCCGCACGGCGGGCCTGCCGCCTGCGGGGCCGCGATCATCCGCCTCTGCAGCAGCCAGGAAGTACGACCCACGCCCCTGACGTGGCGGGGCAGCTGGGGAAGCGTTAGGTCATGCTGGGGATGGGATGGGCTTGAAGGCTTCAGAGTTCAGTAGTTGTAGCTCGGTGGAGGTGAAGTTTGTGCTGGTCCCAGCCGTTTGATGGAGTGATCTTGAAGCGGTGGGAATATTGGCGATCGGACTGTCGCTATTTTACGAACATCAACCTTTTAGAATACGCTATTCAAATTATTGTACAAAAATGGCTAAGATTTTGCCCCTAAGTCGGTATGGACTATGGACACGAACATTTTGATCTGAGGCCTTTATTTGGTCGATGCACTCAAAAGTGCCTGGCGATACGAGTTGTATCTCTCTTTGTACGTTTTTTTTTATTCATTTTACGCGTTGTCGCTCAAAGTAATTACGTCACAAAGAAAAATGTTTTCGGACAATGTTATCTGTCAATCATTTGGTAGGGAGATAAAAAACAGTGAATGTTGGGCATGAAACCGCACGTCCTCACTCGTGCTCTGACCGTTTGTTGCTCGCTCCTCAGGAAAACCATGCCGCTGGGGGAGGCTGTCTGCAAACGGTGCGAGCTCGGCTTCGAGCCCACCGAGCAGATCGTCAACTCGGCCGGCGAGCTGTGGCACCCGGACTGTTTCGTGTGCGCCCAGTGCTTCCAGCCCTTCCCCGAGGGCATATTCTACGAGTTCGAGGGCCGCAAGTACTGCGAGCATGACTTCCAGGTGCTCTTTGCGCCCTGCTGCCAGCAGTGCAGTGAGTAATAAGTATTGCCCGCAGTGGCGCGGGAACTTCTTCCAGACTGGGGGGGGGGGGGGGGGCTGAACCATAATAGAGATCAACCTAGGGTACCCCAAATCTAGTTTTCTCACCGGTTTTAGACCACTTATTTTTCAGACTTTGGCCTTTTCAACAAAAAAAAAAACGAAAAAAATGCAAAAAAGTGAGACATTCCGTCTCAGCTAAACTACCGTTTTGGCAATCTGGATTAAAGGTTTTAATCTGCCAAATGAGTTGCCGAGCCAGTTATCGGAGTTACATGAGCAAGTAAATGCGTATCAGGAACGGATTCTCCTATCCGCTCACCATTGTAGTCCGTTTGTAATGCGTATTAACTCTGCTCATGTAACCCCGAGCAATGAAAGAGGTGGATTTTTCACTCACATGCTTTCTTCCATTGTGACCCACAACCCCTAATTTGGGGAGGACAAGCTGCCCAACGGTTCCTGGCCTCATAAAAAGTTGTGGGGCACCGCCCCCCACGGCTGCAGAATTGTGGGGGCAAGCTTCCCCCACTGCCCCCTCCCCCGGTTCCCGCGCCTATGCATGAATCTATTGAATTATGTTGGTAGATTTCCGATATCGATTCCTCCAGCTGGGGGAGGGGGGAAGGGGCTCAAATACATTACGAGCCCCCAGCCGAAAAGCTGGGGGGGGGGGGCTCAGCCCCCGCTAGCCCGCCCCCCCCCCCCCCGGTTCCCGCGCCACTGATTGCCCGACAGGGACTCGGCTATGTTTGTTGTTAGAGTACCGACTAGCAAAGCTTCTGCCATAACCACGAGCGTGTGCCATTGGTGTCGGCATTACACTTTGATGTCTTCAGCGTCACCAGTTTGCTCTGCGTGCGTTTAGTTTTCATTCAGAGCTGTCACAAGATGAGTTTTTGCTATCACTCTCGGTACACATTCCGCTTTTTGTCTTTGACATTTGACACGTTTAAACATCCGCGCAAACTTGCACTCAATAGTGTAACTCCGCTCTGACCTCAGTCGCCAGATATTTTTTTTTTTTTCGTACGTAAATATTTGTCTGCTATCACTAACCATCAGAACCAGAAGTTGGCACCTAGGGGTCCTAGCTTCTTTCACAAAACCACGCTTTGCCTAACGATAGCGACTCATGATTCTGGTTGTCCGTTGTGACTAGTTTTGATCACGCGCTATGCATCGTTCATCGCTTTACCCATCGACTTCACAGACGAATTTATCATCGGCCGCGTCATCAAGGCCATGAACGGTAGCTGGCACCCGGCCTGTTTCCGTTGCAACATGTGCGGCAAGGAGCTGGCCGACCTGGGCTTCATCAAGCACGGCAACCAGGCTCTGTGCCACGACTGCAACGCCCGCATCCGACTGCAGGGCACCGGCAGATACATGTGCCACAAGTGCCAGTGAGTGGGGGACAGGGATTCAGGGGGATGCTCGTACATGTGCCATAAGTGCCAGTGAGTTGGGGGACGGGGAGAGATTCGTGTCGGGTTAACTCACGTCAGGGCTATCTGATTGGGATTTCTGTAGTCATTGATGATTTTCACGCCATTAATATTCCATTAGACATTCCGTTCGTTTATAACTTCCCCTGTGTTCAATTGTCATTTTCTTGTTTTATATTAAACATTTCGCATATTAACAAATGGACCTTAATGGACGGCAACCGTCATGCTGCATTTTAATCGGCTTTATAGATAACCCCACAAAGCAGGTTACCTAGTTACCACTACTCTCCGTAACTATCTGCACATTACACAGTGTAGTCGCTGCGTCTCTCCACCTAACCACACAGCTTCACCTAACCACCTCTTGACGAAATTTGCAGCGGCGTGATCGACGGCGAGCCCCTGCGGTTCCGTGGTGAGCTCTACCACCCGTACCACTTCAACTGTAAGGCGTGCGGCATCGAGCTGGACTCGCGTGCCAGGGAGGTCAAGTCGCGCGCCGGGTACACCTCGGTCGAGCTGGTGAGTGGGAGGGAGAGAGGAGGGAGCCGGGGCTGTCAGCAGAAAATATGTGAGAAGGTATGGCCGATCCTGTATGCCGAGGATTGGGAAGTATGATGTTACTCACATGTTATTCCCAATATTTTTTTTCGATGTTCAACAGTAGATAAGCAGAAAATCTTTTCATTTTATGCAGTATGCACTGCCTGAGATTACAATAATCGTGATTTGGTTTTCTTGGAAGCAGTTCACGTTTTGGCAATGTAATGTGACGTGGCTGGTGACTATCCCAAAGTTCCAATTATTTATTGATCGCTGTGTACTCTATCGTCCACCTCACCACTATTGTGTCATCCGTTGTCAGAACGAGCTGTACTGTTTGCGCTGCCACGACAAGATGGGTATCCCCATCTGCGGCGCCTGCCACCGTCCCATTGAGGAGCGCGTCGTCACCGCACTTGGGAAGAACTGGCACGTCGAGGTCAGTCAGCATTCCGCGCTCATCACCTGGGTGTGGGTCACCTGGTAGATAAAGTACTATTATACCACACACTACTGATAAAACACTTAATGCAAAGTGTTATTTGATGTCAATTTGTTTGTACATATGTCCTCTCGATGCATCTTTATCTTGGTGCTGCAATATGTTTTATTGTTAAATGTTAATGCTCAGTGTTATTTACGAATGACTAGGTTTGCAGGTACCATGTTACATGCCTCAGCCAGCTATCTTTGTAAGTCAGGTGACCTGACTTCCACCATCTCCCCTTCGGCAGCATTTCGTTTGCGCCAAGTGTGAGAAGCCGTTCCTGGGGCACCGCCACTACGAGAAGAAGGGCCAGGCCTACTGCCGTACCGACTACCACATGCTCTTCGGCAACATCTGCTTCGTCTGCAACTACGTCGTTGAGGACGAAGGTAGGGTTGGACAACAGAAAACTTCACTTTGAACTAATTTGAATTAATTTTAATTATTGACCTTCGCAGATGACCCCGAAACCTCAACTTTTCATCGTCATGAATGCTTCTATGCATGTTTGATAGTCCTATCATTACTATCGTACATCTCACGGGCACCATCAAACTGTCCGATATCATCATCGACTGGCGTTAGTTGGCATGTGCCTGATCATTAACTACTGTCCACCCGATCAGTTTGTTGTCCATTGACTTCTCTACCTTCACGTTCGCAGTTGTCCGCTCGCTGAACAAGGCCTGGTGCCCGCACCACTTTGCCTGTAGCCTGTGCGACCAGCCGCTGACGCGGAAGTCCAAGTTCTTCGAGATGGACATGAAACCGGTATGTGGTACCACTGATCCGAACAGATGAATACCTTTGCTGAAATGTTGTGCATCCTGCTATGAACGTTTTATTACGACAGTTTCGAGCGCGTGTCAGGATCGTTGATTTCCCCTTCATCATTTTGAAAGGATACTTCATAAAATATTTGCCACATTTCAAGTGATAACATTATCATTTGGCCCGATATTTGTACATCAGACTATTTGAATTCCATGTGAGGACTTAATCGAAACAAGCCATCGCATAACTACTCACGTAATTGTCTACTCTGAACCTCAAGCCCCCGAAACACCACGTTTGTGCTCCTCTGACATTTTCTCACCCGACTTCAGGTGTGCAAGAAGTGTTACGAGAAGCTGCCGCACGAGCTGCGCCGCCGCCTGAAGCGGCTCCATGAGAACGAGGTGAGGCGTGACGACCTGTAGGCAGTGCTCGTGGTGGAGCCGGGCCGCTAACCCGCTACCAGAGACCGCTAACCGCCGCCAAAGCCCCGCTAACGTGCTACTGATGGCCACTAACCCGCTGAAGAGGCCACTACATATAGCCTCTGGCGTTGGTCGGCTTGGAATTAACTCATTCACAAACCAATATCGGTGCTTAATGCTGTACGAACGCTGCAGGCTAGCGTGCCTTTGAAGAACCCGCTTTGGCGTCGGCTTCTAACCGAGAGCGTCTAACAGTGGTGACCGTCCGGGAGCAGACTGTATAACGTATGTGTCGGAGTTGTGTTGTCCTGTTCTAACACTGTAAACCGTGGTTTGTGGGTTTACGTGTTCCTACTTACCCGGGATCTGCTACTTACACTGTGAATACGCTTCCCGTTGTTCTGTCCAAAACCGCAAACTATCTCCTAACTGGTAATGGTACCAGCAAAGTACTAAGATCTCACGGCAAGCCGCCACGTCGCCGTATCTTACGTTCGTTGACTAACATCGGAGTCCGTCGCACCGACAGGTGCTCCTAACGCAAGCCTTATGAGGTGCTAACGTTACATGAGATGTGCAAACGTTTGGGCCTGTTTTAAGAACACGTCTAATTGACAGGGTTGAAAAGTGAGAGGTTTAAAAAGTTGTTGAAAAGACAATCGTCGACTTGACACCATTTTACAGTCAAAATACATCTTGATTTTAAATTTATTTGGGTAAATTACTCGGAATTATCCCCAGCTTCTCAGTCTCACCAATATGGTTTGCTAGAGATGCTATTAGAACAGTGTTTATGTCGGGACGCTGGATATTTGGCCTGATATTTGGCCTGTTAAAACGTCTGTTGAAGCTTGTCAACGTTAGCCTCTCTGTTCTCACCAAGTAGACCGGTTAGGGCCTTTACTATTATAGACTGCTGTGAATATTGCTTGTAATAATCGGGAGGTAGACAGAACACTTGCAGTGCAGCGAAGAGGCTTTTGCCAAAGACGTCTATTTTATTAGCATTGTTGTGTGTTAGTTGCAATTGATAGAATTGGGAATTTTGCTGTGCGTTCCTGTAGCCAAAGAAGTGGTTTTCTGTAGGCGGACTTGCCCACTAGAAACTTATGACGCTTTTGCATAGTCTAGTGCCTTTGATAATACCTTTGCTAGATATAGCGGATGTAATCAAAATGTAAATGTGGTGCTTTTAGACCAGCCTTTGTCACACTCTGTATAGGCTTACTGCGGCGGGTGTCTGTCTAATGTAACTGTAAATGCTTCCGTTCTGGGTGCTTCCTGTGTTGATGTCCTTGAACATGGTGTATGTTGTTTACATAAAACATCTGCAGCTTCTTCAACTGTGTGAATATAACGAAGGCTTGATAATTATTTCGTTATAATTTTTAAATAGTGCTGCTCTGAACGGCCCAGGTATGTATTGCTCTTGATGTGAAAAGTCATGTCGCCGACATGTGCTTAGCTTCAATGTCTGATGCATCTTTGGCTTTCAGGAGCTGCGCATTTATGAAGATTAATGTGGTATGTGCCACTCAGGGGTGTGTTGTTTCCCCAACAGTCTAGTGGTCGCCACAGTCTAGCCCAGTCACAGATAATGTGTGATCAGCTCATACCTTTTTCCCCTAGGATATTTTTAGACCCATCCTCGCATTCAGTTGAACTTCAAGCTTGGCTTTGGCTCGCTTTGACCCATGAGTGCTTCATGCGGTAATCTCTAGAGCCTCCCTTCCGCTAGCTCCTTGGTTTTCCATTTTCCCCAGCCCGCCCAGCTCCGGGCGCTGCTATACACTTAGCTACCCCGCCCCCCGCCTCGCCACCTCCCCTGTACCGTATATGACCGGTGTAAGTCTGACGCTGGGTCGCCTCTCTGCCAGGCGCCGGGAATGGTCACCGCTGAGTTCACCGAGAACGAGTAGTAAGGCTCAGTTTCACATATATCGCCGCCGAATAACCGACTTACCGGCTAATGTCGTTAGAGTCGTTACTCATCTACTCAGCAACTGCCGTTCATGAAAAAAACGCATTTGAAGTAAAGCAAAATGAGAAATGTAGCATGCGCTAGGTATTAAAATACGACAGATATGAAAAGGAACTCCGGCCGCTGTGATACGGCAGTTGCTGAGCCATAACGAAGTACTTTGCGGTGAAGGTATACTCACGATTGGTGAGAGGTTACTTAGGACACTACCGACTGTGTCAGTTTTTATTGGTCCAGACAAAACTCTTTCATGATTAACATGGTAATGCAGCCACGGTTTTCATTGTCTCGCTATTTTCAGTCCAACTAATGAAATGTTTCCAGGTAGCTCTGCTAACCGCGTGTACATATGCCGTGACTTATGCAAAGTTTTACAATTTATCGACATTATTCAATTTTGGTAGGTACGGTCTTTTTAGCAGGTGGCGGTTCATATCTGTCCATGTTCTAACACATGCGTGAAGTTTGTGAACGTGTTAAGTTATCTTCGTTTTGGTACGAATCAAGTCGTATTGGAACTTTCTCTTACTCGTATCGTATTAGAACTTCATGTTTAAGCTGATATAGTCTGAATGTCTGAAGGTTCCTTGCATTGCTGGGTAAATCTGCCAGCATCCCTACCGACGGTAAGTGCTTCCGTTGGGTGCTGGTGCATGACGTCGTTCCGTCCGTCAGACGTGGATCCTGCTTATATTGGTTGTGGCTTATCTGACCTAATCACTTTGCAGGCTTAACCCTATTAGTGGCAGGGGGGGGGGGTTGTTTTTATCCACCCCTCAGGTTTTTCGGGAATATCTCCAAAACCGCTGAAGCTACGATGCTGAAATTTTCTGACTTTTCCTAAAACTAAATTGGGCACATTCCCTGAAAATTTCAAGTTCATAACTTTACCAGGGGCGGCTCCAGAGCACTGGGAATTGGGGGGTCCTATTCGTGAAGCGAGTCATTTGGGCGAAGATCACGATGCTGCACCAGTTTTACGAACAGTGAATGAAAGGTATCATGTGATAACATATACAGCTATTGTGCATCCTCTTTTGACACGTTTTTGCTATAATAGGCGGATCCAGGCGTCCAAAAAGGGGGGTTATGTTTTACCTCCCAACATAGGTGCCCTGACACCGCCTATGCATGACCAATACAATTGTAGTCGTTCTCTCATAAGAAAATTGTAACATAACAAGACCATTACCACCATTTTTAGAAACAGTACGAACAAAAACCTTATTTACTATACTTTTTGTGTACCCCCAATCTCAATGATCTGTATCCGCCTATGATTTTTGAAAATGCATATTTTTGGGATCCATGTGAATTTCTGGTTCATTCTCTATCGATCGGCAAAAGTTGCGTTAAGATTGGTTCAGAAACCTGGCCGTGATAAACAGTCTAAAATGTATCTGCAATTTGCCCGTTTTTACCCCCCTCTACCCCCCCCCCCTATTGACATTTTTTAATTTTTATTTTTTAGAAATGTAGATCACGTTGAGCGAAATCGAATGCCGTTTGAATTTTGAAAATCGGCCCGTTAGATCTCGAGATATCAAGGGGGGGTCGTAAACAGCCCCCCCCCCCTGCCACTAATAGGGGGTAGCCAGGAGCCTGCCACTAATAGGGTTAATGAAAGAAGGTTGTTTGGTCTTAATCAGTGGAGTTTCTAGTTTTTCAAGTTCTCGTACATCATTGAATTTGTGTCAGTGATCGAACTAGTAATCGAGTAACTGATCTGTCATAGATCGGGTGGGCCGCCTCACAGACCCCATGCCCTGTTACTGTTCTATTGACCTGTCGCGCGTTTCTGCGCGCCGTCGCCGCCTTACAGAGAGAGATGAGCCTGGGGGCGGAGTAGCGGGACGACCCGAGTCCCAGGCGACCATCGCTGGGTTCCAGTAGACCATCGCTGGACGGCGTAGAACACCCCACCGGCTACCAACGGCTGCTCCGGCTAGCCGTGTACTGCACTGGCTTCTGGTGTACTGCACTGGTCGCTGGTGTACTGCACTGGATACTGGTGCATTGCACTGGTCACCGGCCCACCGCACTGGATACTGGTGCACTGCACTGGCTGTTCATGCATGCACTAGCTACTGGTGCACTGTGCTGGCTACTGGTGTACTGCACTGGTTACTGGCGCACTGCACTAGCTACTGGTTACTGGCGCACTGCACTGCCTACCCGTGTACCGCACCGCTCGCCGTTGCGCTGCACTGGTCTTCCGCACTCCCTGCCGACTGTCTCGGCGCCCTCTGCTGGCGGTGCCTTCTCTCCAAACCGACAGAGTTCAGCGAGACAGCGGTACCTACCCACCGCCTCCAGATAAATCCCAGACAGACGCTCACTAGAACTGCCACTACCGACTCTGAAAATAGGCCTAGAAAGCCTTGCTTGACTTTTTTCGTTTGTATTTACTCTTCATCTCATTACGCAGTTGTGTTTCTACGTAATTGACTCATTCAAACCGCGAAAAAGGTGCTTTTAGAACGAACACGCAGGCTTTCTTATCTACGAATCCACGGGGATGTGGCTATAAAAACGTAACTTAATCGCATGAGTTTAATGTGGTTTTACTGAAACTCGAGTCACTTACGTTGCCAGTGTTTGTGTTGAAACTGACTGTATATTTAAGGTAGAATCCTGATCGGTATTAGTCGTTGATAGAGCGAGATCAGGCTAGCTCGCTACCATCCTTAGTGCACTAGCATATTCACAACGCATGCGCATCTGCGATTCTATACATCCCGCCAGTGGCCTTTCACTGGTATGTGTGCTTGTGCGTCTGACCAAAGGAGCTTTTAGATGTTCTTACCTCGGAGATTAGCTGATAGTGAACTGACACCCAGCGCGGCTGTTGCGTGCCTTAGGTGGTCGAATGTGCGAGAGGTTCTTTACAAGGCCGTACGAGGATTCTATCACTCGTTTATGACGGAGTTTACAGTCCGTCATCGGCTGGGAGCTGAAAAAGTGTGCGCCGTTCGTCACCATCCGATAACTGGTGTTTGATATCAATATAATTATTTGCTAACACACTGCCGTGCGTCTCGGTGAGAGAGCATACAAGTTTTTTTTTTAGCGATGGTGACCAAAGTATTTGCTTATCTATACTGGTAGCCAAAGAGATGTTTGAATATAATGAATTTCATAACCGTTCGTGAAACCTGATCATATTGTTTCCCCGTCGTCTAGGCATGTAACCCTCATTTAGGGATAGGTATCGGCCTACCGACACCACTTACTTGGGGGGGGGGGGGAGAGGGGACGACGGGGGCGATAGAGTTCGCTACCGCCAGCAAGGCGACCGGCTCGCGGTTAAGAATGTCCTTGGCTTCAGAGTAAATACCTTTTCTGGTAGCCCCTCTATCAGCAGATTCCACAACCAATAACCGTAGTGAGTTAAACGTTTTTGATGATGAGCAGGCGACGTCAATAACCCCAGCTAAACTGTCTGTCATTGTAGGGTTATGCTTGCTCCTAACAGCGACACTACACTATGCTCGTAAGTGCGTTGCCATGCCACAATGAAAACGTGTAAGACACTCGATGCGTAACCATGCATGGTGCACACGCTAATGAGAGAACTGAATGTATTCTGAGTTCTGAGTGTCAGCTGCTAGTATTTCCAGAGCATTATCACCCTTCGCGGCCACATCTCTGCCCCCACTACAACACATACGCTGCAGAGGCGACGGCCGCCAGGATAAGCGGAATGTGGATCGCGCGAGCAAATAAAACATGGCATACACATAAGGAAACGAAGTATAAAAGTTATTTGAGTCATATACATAATACGGGCGCCGCGGCCGGCGGCAGCGTCCACTGCATGTGCAGAGACCGAGACTGGCTCCGATCCACGCGTGGCAAGATAACAGTATATACGGGCGGCACAGAAAGCAAGCGACGCCTAGCCGATCGCCGCCCCACGCACGCACAGTAATACTGGTTATAATATAATATTCGATAGATCTCGTTCATAAGAGAGCCGCTGGCGACTTCGGCGGCGTAAGCTCGATACAATGCACGCCGCACGCGCTGTTATGTCTTTGCAAAGCGAGCGTTGCACGCACACAGATACTCGTGGGGTGGGTCGCAAGCACACACACGTCACCAAGCGTGCGTAGGAGCTGCGTGCCCCGCGCTCCTACACACAGCCGCCCGCTGTCCAGTGTCAGTCCATCACTCAGATCGATCAGAATGCGACCATGCACTGTCCAGGCCGACGGACTTCACTGCATTCGACTTGTCACACGCCTAGTTACCCCCCGCAGTCGTCCTTCATAGGCTCCCTCCCGAGCCTCACTTGTGTAGGACACTCGCACCACACCAAACGTCCACCCTCAACACCACTAGCACCAAACGCTCAGCGTGGTGCCGTACCTAGATTCACCACACCACACACAGACTTGTGTTCCAGTTTCCCTCCCGCTGCCTACAGCGGCTGACGGCAGGCCTACTTTGCTCTGCCCAGCCCTATTCGGAGCGGCTTGCGCTTTGAGTCGGCGCCGGCCGGCTGCGGCGGCGGCGGCTGGGGCGGCGGCGCGTCCTGGTGCTTCTGGCCAAAGTAGGAGGTGAGATCTTCGATGTGCACGAGTTTGGAGTCCTGTTCCATGTGCTGTTCGTCTCGTTCCATCAGGTAGCGTACCAGCGCCTCGTTTAACCCTGTCGACACAGTTATCGTTGTTAGTTGAACGTTCATCTGACTGAGACGAGGTGGTGCAGGAAATGTCTCTGAGGGAGAGAAAGCGCGGTAGGTGCATGGATAAATAAAATTCAGCCCCAGCACATCCCGCGTGCGAGAACGAATCATAGCTATCAGTTTCGGATCGCTAATTGCTAGATTTCTAGACAACGACACACCAGATCACCAAGTTATGTTTGTATCTACACTGGTACACAAGTAATTGGTAAGTTTCGGTTAAGGGGCAACGCAGAAATGACGTTTCACGACGGCCATCTTGTATCCGTTTGGAAAAAACGGGTCACGGCAGCGACACCATTGCATCGTGAGCCGGGATGAAGCACTATGAATAGTGAATACGGAACTTCTCAGTTACAACAGGTTAAACATGAATTTGTATCTTGCAAGTAATCCCTCAGAGCCAGCTGAGCTAGAACTGCCGTAGGTGTTTCTTACCCTCGATGCGCGCGTGGAAGTCGTTGACGATAACCTGCAGCTGAGCGATGTTCATTTCGGTGAGCAGCTGGCGGCTGACGCGCCGTCGGCCGTCCGGGAACGGAACGCCGATCTGAGGGGCGCGGGGAACGAGCGTTAGCCATCGCTGGCTGAGCTAGTTAGTGTCGTCACTCATTGGGCGATAATGGGGCAGGTCTACTACACAGCTGAACACAAAATGCAGTACAGAATATTCTGCAAATGAACCGGCATAATATACCCAAAAAGATCAATACCTATCACCCTTTAAGATCATACTCGCTAAAATAAACAACACTCAGACGCGTTGGGATGAAACGCACATTTTGCGGTATCGATTTTGACACGTGAATCATGCCCAAGATCTGCGACAACCCCTTGCACATCAAATAGCATCAAATAGCATCAGCTTAAAACCAAATAGGCTAGTGCTAGACCTCGCCTTTTGCACTTCGCTACTCTACAGCTTTGATAGAGCTGAAGTTCCGTTTTTTCATCAACACGAACATGGCTGCAGTCTGTCGCACCCACCTTCTGGAAGGCCACCCGGACCACGTCCGAGATGGGGCTCTTGCGGCTCTGTCTCTCGATCTCCATCTGCATCCTGGCCATCTGTTTGGCCTGTGCCAGCGCCAGCCGCGCCTCGGCCTGCAGCTGCGCCTGGTGGCGCACAAAGTCGGCCGTGCGCGCCGGCTCACCGGACTCGCGCGCCACCGGCGGCGGCTGGCTGAACTTGGGCTACCAGAGGTACACGATAGGCGTCAGCGGTCGACGGACGATAGCAGGGAAGTGAGGGATATAACGAAACTCGTTTATTGTAAAACGCTACAAAATGTACGCAGAACCTAAGGTACAAATCTGACGCATTACAATTTAACCGATCAAAGCGATGCAGCTGATCCCATAATACAAGCCTCACAACAGACTGCATTAACCATGTTTCGAGGGTAAATGGCCATCAAAACAGAAAACTTAAGAGTAAACTCGTTATTTACCTAAATTATCAAAGACCTCGCACCAATCAGTGCTAAAAATCCTTCAACTCCGTGAGAATCATTCCATCCCCCTCTCTCCCCACGGTCTCCCCTGCTGCTCACTCACCCAGTCGTTGAGGTCGACGGGCAGGCTCTGGAAGGCGGCTGGCTCGGGCTGCGCCGCGCCCGAGATCCGCCTGGCCAGCAGGCCTCCGCCGAGCTCCTCATCTTCATCCTCATCGTCAGAGGCCGTCTCGTTCATGAAGCAGATCTGGAGGTTCATGCCGCCCTGCAGGCGCGACTGCAGGCTCGGTTTGCGGCCCGGCCGGACTCCTGCAGCGGCTCCCATCGCGGCGGCGCCCTCCTCCGGCTCGTGGCCCATGGCCAGCTTCCGTCGGATCGCCTCGCGGTCATTGCGACGCTGTGGGGTAGAGAGAAGGGAGGTTAAAGATGGGTAGGGAGTGGGACAGAGGTTAGATGAGCCCTGAGGGCGGAGGTTGGGTGGGTCAGAGGTCAGCTGAGGGTGGAGGTTGAGTCAGAGGTCACCTGAGGGTGGAGGTTGAGTTGAGATCAGAGCTGTGCAGAGGCCAGAGGTTGAGTCAGAGGTCAGTAGTTGAGGGTGGAGGTTGGGTCAGAGGAGGTCAGATATGGGTGGAGCTGAGAGGTCAGTACTAGTAGGGGTGAATAGCCCGCGGTGGGAAGGTCAGTTCAGCATACACAGGTCATAAAGTTTCACAAGGGCGAGTGATCAGCAGAGGGGAAGAAGATGTTGCTAGTAGGTCAGCTGAGAACCATGTCAGTGAGCACTGTCATCTACCTACATGGTAGGTTGGTCAGTGATGTATCAGTGATAATTAGGCTCAACTTATGACAGAACTAAAACTCAGCCACTGAAGCTTTCACTGAATGCCACCAAAACAAGTAAAGGAAAAATTAAGTCATGAAAAGGGTCAATAAAAGTCCATGTTGCTTGTTGAGTGTCATACACCATAACCCACAGATGGCTCTCCAGGATAAACCCATAGCAGGGGTAGGTACATGCTTTGTTTATAGTTTGCAAATTTCTTTTCATCTCTTTGATCATCTGATCTCATAAACAGGAGGCCACCAGTATAAAATTTGCACATTTGTTATTGTTGGGTTGAAGTATAGATAGTGCTATAACCGTCAGCATTCTTGGGTCTACTGTGGTGTTAATTTAATGAAAGTCTTTATAGTCATATTGTCATAAAAAGTAGTAAATACTGTCACTGAAATTTCAGCAATGCTATTGATAGGATAATTTGAGATGTGCATGCTTAAAAAAACACAAAATCTAACATTCTCTCCTACTCCTCACCATTATCGATATTTTGCTAATGTATTTTTATGCAGTAATTACTGATTTAAAACATCCTCACACTACAAAAATGATTTTGTTAAAAGACAAATCAACACCAAAATTATCAACAAAACTCAAGCATGTTGGAAATATTTAGATATTGTTTAAAGCTATGTTAAGTTATGATCATTGGCAGAAAATGCACAAACTTACATAGAAGCTGTAATCTCGCATATGCTTGAAATTGAAATTTTTCCGAACAACTTGTTGACTTTCTTCTTCCTCATTTGGGGTAATGACTTTGATGAATTTATCCACAATATTTTCCAGCTCCTCTTCAGTTGGCCCATCAACTAATTCCTCAGCTTTTGGCTTTGCTGGTTCAGCAGTCACTGCTTTCCTAGCCCCATCAGACTGCGTTGTAAAAGGCCAGATACCTCCTCTCTTGCTTTGCTCTTGTCTCCAAGCATATATTGCTGGACTATTGCTCCAAGCATTCAGGTCATTTCTAAATCTTTGAGCAATGTCTGCCGACACTGCACCGACTTTTGATGTCTGAGATTTCAGAGTAGATGCAAGTGAAGACGAGATGTTTTGAGTTCCCTGCTTGATTGAATCCATGGAGACTTTTGCTGATTGTTCCTTTAAGGATGAAACCAGACCATCTAATGACATTTTTAGAGATTTAATTTCCTTCTAGAAAAAGAACAATAGGTGAAAATGCTAACTTATCAAACGCAACACGACCAACACAAACAAAAAATAACATAAAAGGGGACGTCGGCGATAAATCCAAAATGTCAGAAATGTCACAGGTGCGCCACTTACACCAATTTATAGTGCGGCCATATGGAAGGAAAGCAAGGTATAAAAAGGGACGACGGAAAGGAGCCGATCATGCAACAGAGCGAGAGAAAACGGGGACGAACGCCATTTGATGCATTATTTGCCATTGGAAAAAAGGTAGTGAAATGATCACATCGATCTTTTCAGCGAAAATGTTGCCCTTGTAGGTACGCTTTTCTCTCTAAATAGCCTAGATCACAATTGACAAAGACAATGGACAGTGGCGGGTGGCCAGTGGCCACAGTCGCCACAGTGACACGATGAACAATGAAAGGTCATCAAGTAGAACGGTCCTGGTCATCGACTCGGATTACCTTAGCTGCCTTGCTGCAAGTAATTATTGAATTAGCTGTGCCCGAGGTAAAAAAGCTCGGGGAGGGGAAGTTTTTGATTTATGAAGCCCTCCCTAGCTACCGACAAGAATAGGACTAAGGAGCAAGAAGTCAGAGGACCAAAACTTCAACCACCGGCCTGATGGGCGAGGGCCATCAGGTGGCGGTTGTATACTAACCTAAGTCCTGAGATTGAGAAGACGGGGAACTGTGAATCCTGACCTGACTGAGCTCTGTAACCAGTCACCGGGCCCCAGTCCCCCCCCCCCCCACACACACACACACGGCACACCCGTCAAAGTGATGCCTTACGGATGGAAAGGCATCACCTGTAGCCAATCCGAAACATGTTTAGGTATGATACCAGTCATTGACGAAAGTTACAAATGAGGGATCGGACCATTCGGAGCAAGGACCATCTATCGCCTACCACTAAGCCTGGCTATGACCGTGACGGCGATGGCATACGGGTATATTTAATCAACTGCCAGTACCCCAGTAAAGGTAAGAATCGTTGTCGCTACTTATCCAGTACCTATGCACCAACGCACAGGCATGAAAACGACCAGCAAAGTGTTAACACAAGAAAACACGACAGCGCTGCTTTGTGAAGACTGGCGTCCACTGTTGTGAGCTGCAGCTGGTCAAAAGACCAAGACAATACTGACTCATAGTAAAAATGTAATGCCACATGACGAATTACCGCGGTATAAGGCCGACAATAGGAGAGTCACTGCTTCTCGGAACGACCACAGACGTTAATCACACGACATATGTCGGCAAGCCTATGTCACGAAAGGATAGGAACGGCGTTAGCCGCGCATCCTTCCTCCGTGGCTTGCTTTTGGTCTGGATACGCCAATTGAGCTTCGAGCTAGTCAACCAATAACATTGACAAATTTATGAAGAATGCAGTCTGCATTTGTCTCTTTCCCAAATCGATTGAAACCCGGAGGCTAGAATGGGGTTATCGAAAGCTATTCTACTATTCAAGGACAAACGTTTAAATCTCTAGTACAGGGGCGTAGGCAGGGGGGGGGGGCACTGGGCCATGGCCCCCCCCCCTTGGGCGCCGAAGGCGCCCTTTGCGATTGGAGGGCGCCGAAGGCGCCCTCCAATCGCAAATGCAATTGTGATATAATCGAATCGAAAAACAATCGCGACTGGAGGGCGCCCTCCAATCGCGAATGTGTTTACAGGGAAAATACGGATGGAGGGCGCCCTCGGAGGACGCCCATTCCAAATACGCCCTCCAAATACGGTTGGAGGGCTCCCTCGGGCGCCCTCCAACCACATTTGTAGGCTGTAGCTCTCTAAGCGTAACGGTGGTCGCCTATGTAAGCCGCTGTCCTGTAAATAAGCGCCCTCTCACCCGAAGGCGCCCTCCTGTAGGTCGCCACCCTGCTACACATTGCCGCCCTTCTGCTGATCGGCGTCCTCATAATTATTGGCGCTCTCCTACCTATTGCGCCCTCATGTGAAATTTTGAAGGCCGCCTTTCTCCCTTTTGGCACCCTCTTGTTCAGTGCCGCCCTCCTACCTATTGGTTCCCTAGTCCTTCCTGTTGAATGTTAATCGGGGCCCTTCTATTGGCGCCCTCGTGTAAATCGCCGCCCTCCTAACCACTGGCACCCTCCTGTTGATCACCGCCCTCCTATCCACTGGCACCTTCCTGTTGACCAGCGCCCTCCGCACAGACGCCCTCCTGTTCGTGTCATCCTCTTGAGCAAAGGCGCCCTCCTCACCATTGCCACCCCCATTTTAATCGTCACCCTTCCGCTCATTGGCGACTTCCAGTTGATGACCGCCCTCCCACCTATTGGCGACCTTTTGTTGATCGCCACCCTCCTATTGGTGCTCTCCTGTTCCTCGCCACCCTCTTACCTGGTGGCGCCCTCCTGTTGATTGTTGATCGGCGCCCTCCTACCTATTGGTGCCCTCCTGTTGATCGCTGCCCTTCTATCCATTGGCGCCCTCCTGCTGCTCGCCAACTTCCTACCTATCGGTGCCCTACTGTCGAAACTCGGGATGTTGATCGGGGCTCTTCTACCTATTAGTGCCCTCCTGTGGATCGCAGCCCTTCTACCTATTGGCAACATCCGTTGATCGCTGCCCTCCTATCATTTATTTACTCCTTTGGCATGTTTTTCAACTTAGTCGTTCTATTGCACATAGTTGATGTCTTGCCTGTGAAAACTGCCACAAATGAACGTGCATTCAGCACAATGAATGAAGTATCTATACCTACCAAAACTATCTACGCTCTACGATGCATAAAACACGTCTTTGGTCTTAACGGATTGATCCTACTTTACGTGCATCATGGCATCTATATGGATTACGATTAAGTATTGTCAACAGGTTCGGGCGCAACAGCAGGCATCTGAAGTTTCGGTGATTGAAACTGGTTATGTGGGTACACTGTATGCATCTGTGAGAAGGCTATGAAGGCTGGTCTGAGGTAATTTGGATGATGTTTACGCATCTCGCGCTCCGGTATCAATCCGATACGGTGATCTGGTGCGTAGATATGCCACCGCCAATAAACTTTTATACATCGACACCCATGAGCCAAGCTTTCTGTACAGTTTGTGTGGCAGCGGCCCGACCAAACCTTAGGTATTTTTTACACCTTCAAATTTGGTAAAAGAGCGAGAGGAGCTTTGAACAGTGATCGTATAAAAGGCGTGCCTAAAAAGCGGAGGAAAAGGTTGTTTTCAAAAATTTCGCGCGCCTTCGGCGCAGCATTTCAAGAACACTTGACCTTTTGTGACCTGGAGTATAAAGAATACACACGATGCAAAATCAATGCAGCACGACCTATACGAGGTTACGCAAAAAAAAAACTGGTGGCATGGTAAAAAAACGCCTCCCAACCCCCCAACCCCCACTGAGCGATTTTTTATCTCGCGACCGTATGGC